AAAACTGAAGCTTTCTGACATCTTCTGGTTTTCAATCAGAATGAAATACGTGACTGATTCTTTGGCCAAATACTTTCTAACAGCAGAAGGCTAAGTCCTGCTCTGTGCAGAATTTTCAGGTGTTCATTGGCCACATGAGGTTCCTATCAAAATGCTGAACAGCTGAATAACAAGCACTCTGACAAAAAACAAAGTCCTCTGCAAGCAACAACCAAACAATTCCAGACTTGCCAGATACGTAGGCTTCTGCATTCACTTAACTTTCTGAAATAATTGGCATTAAAGTATCTTTTCCTTTTTTTTTTTTTTTTTTTTTTTTTTTTTTTGTTGAAAAGGGTCTGCACATTGGTTGCAGAGTTTGATTGTCATTAGTTTCAATTCCTTTTTTTTCCTCTTAGGGCCATATGCTTGGTTTGAAGATGTGGGAATATCTCAAGCACTGCCAATGAAATATTTAGGATTTCCTAAAGAGATCCTGAGTAAATTCCCTCTAAAATATGCCCCCAAACAACACAGCAAATGGGTTTCAGTGCTGGTGAGACAGGCCTGAGAGCATGAAGCACCCTCATGCCCACCAGCCCGACATCCCGGGGACATCACAAACAACAGCAGCAGCTTCTGTTCACATGGGTACCTGACTCCCAAGATCTGGAGACCTCAAGCACTGTTTCCAAGTGATTTTCTCCAGCAGCCTGAGGACATGTTGTTTTCCCAAAGTACCCATGAAAACCATGGACTCTCCATCAGTACCTTGAGTGCTGTGTGACTCTGCTTCCTGATTTACACTGGTTGCGCCCAGGTATGAACTCAGCAGAAATTCTTCTTCCCATTGAGCAATCCTCCAGGAGATGCACTGGAAGAGCATCTTCATCTCTGACCACTGCTATTTGACAGCTGTGCTGGGAAGCGAAGTGCCTTTGAGTTGTGCAGCCTTTGGTCACTCTGCTGGGACATGACCAGGAGATGCACAGGATGAGAAAGACCCAAGATGATCCTGCATGGACATGCAAACCTACAGTGGGATTCAGGTTGCCCTGTTTCCTCAAGAGCCAAACTAAAACTCCTTACAAGAGGATCTGCAGCCTGTTGCAGCTAGCCTAAATCATGGAATAAGATTGGAAAGACCACTAATCTCATCTGGTCCAACCATCAACCCATTCTAGTCTAGACCATGTCCCTCAATACCTCATCTCCATGGTTCTAGAACACCTCCAGGCACCTCTCTGGGCAGCCTGTGCCAGTGCCTCATCATTCTTTCTGAGAGGAAGTTTTCCTAATATACAACCTGTTTAAAAATCTCTGCCCTATGTGTTCGTGCCATCCACAGGAATGCCCAGTTCACATCTCAAAGCCTGCCAAGTTTTCAGCCTCAACGAAATCTCCTGGCAATGATTTCCAGCAGCAAACTGTGTGGAAAAAAAAGAAGTATTTCCTTTCATCAGTTTTCACTGTGCTGCCCTCATTCCCAGCTCACGAGAACAGAAGTTCCCAATCTGCTTTCCCTGTTTCACAGTGTGCTGTGCATGTTTCTGTCCCCATGCACCGCTGTCCTGCGGAGGCTGCTGCGCGTTGTCGGCAGGGAAATCTGCAGAGGCTGGGAAGTGAAACACTTGGAGAATATCAAATGTATGCAAAAGCAAAGCAAATAACACTGGGGAAGCAGTTCTGATTGGCTTGTGCCTCTGTTGAGTTGGTGGAGTTGGACTGCCTTGTGTTGGGCGCGTTGTCCCTTGGTCTCTTGGTGACCTTGCAGGGTCCTCTTTAGGGCGGTTCTTCCTCCCACCTCTCTGGATATATCTGTCAAGTGTGTTTTACACATGCACTGGTGCAATTTCCCTTGCCATTTGTATTCCGTCTGCCTTCAACAAATTCTGAAAACCTTGCCTGGGCTGCCTCATTTGTATGCACTTAATCTGGCTTTATCCTGTTTTATGGAGCGTCTTCTTTAAATTGATTCAGGCAAAAGCATAGCAGGGGCTTTGCATAGATTTCGCATGCATGACATTTCTGCACAGTTGGTCCCATTATACACCATCCTGAGCACACTCTGCCCATAAACACACCATATTAAACAAGAAGAAAATGAATCAAAATAAAGAGAGCTACGGAAGGAGGAGGAGGGAGAGGGCAAGGAGGAAGAGAAGTGACCACTGTCCACCCCTTCGGCATCATTATGGGAGTGATTTTCCAGTTTCACTCACTGAGCATCCACTGGCTTTATGTCCTCTGTTGTCCAGAGCCAGGCCTTGCTCTGCTGGCTCCACAGTGCAGGATCATACCCTGTGGGGGGGCTCAGGAAGGGACCAGAGCATCCCCAGAACTCCTGGTGGTGTGGAGAAGGCACCAGAAGCATCTCTTTGGCCACACCACCTCCACACCGGTAATAAACCCATAATCCAACAAAACCAGTGTGAATTTAGTTGCGATGCCCTCTGTGATCACTGCCTGCCTGAACTGCCAGAATTATTGCTGAAAATGTTGTGCCTCTGCCTAGCATACATAAGCGCATGCTTTCTGTGGCTATGAAATCTAAGTAGGGGCAGGTGTGATCAGGTGAATGCTGCTTATTCAGTGTGCCTAGGCAACAGCAAAACACATTATTCAATGTTTTATTAGGGAGAATTAATATTTCTTTAAATGTCCGCTAATGATTTAACAATATTATTGTTATGTTAAGGTTGGGGGAATTAGAGAAAGAGTACTTGTGTTAATATGTCAACACATTAAAAACGCAGCTCCATTTAAGCAGACACTTAGGTTAATGTGTTACATATTAAAAAGTCCAATTTCCTTTGCTGGCTACAAATCACGGCCTAGATTATTGACGTGAATGATTTGCAGTGCACTGTTTTACTTTTTCTTCTTGGCATTTGTACGTTCCGCTTGGTTTGTAACGATTGGAGCTCTGGCCCCATAAAGTTCCTCTACCCTGAAAATATTAAGGCCATTTTAGAAAAAACAATAAGAGAGAAGAAAACACTGCATGCTGCCATGCTCTGACATGGGAATGCACGACTGTCTGAAACGCTGTGCTTGGGATGGCAGCCCTGAAGGAAAGCCCCACAGAGCTCTGTGGGAGGGATATGGCCACTTGAGGTGGGATGGGAGTACTGCAGGCTGATGGAGGTGAAGCCAAGCCATTAGCAGAGTGCAAAGGGGAGCACTAGAAAAGCAATGGGCTCTGGAGGACAAGCCGTGCATACATGTAAGCTTTGCAGATAGCTAACTGTAGAGTGAGTTTTGCAGTGATTGCTCTCCCAAAGCCCCAGCCAGAGGGCCAGCACCGTGCCTATAGCCATGGGTGATGGAGTAGCCCATGTATCTCATGTCCTTCATGCCCTTCTCCCTTGCTTTAGGCTAAAGCAAGGTGACTCAGGAGACTCCTTGGAGTCACTCTGAAAATGCGAGCCTGTAAGTGTGACTCTGGCAGGCAAAGAAAAGAAAACCCCACTTGTCTAAAAGAAATTTATGACAATGTATGGGTGAAGCAGCATGATGCAGGGCAAAAGTGAGGAACAGCGAGCCCTGCAGCTATAATGCCTGTGCCTTGTAGGGTTCCCATGGTACAAATGCTATTTCTGTTGTTTATTTTTAGTCTGAAAACTCATATAATGAGGCTGAAAACTACTGCTTAGGAGGCTCATATCAAGTAGGGGTGGTATTTAAAGGTTTCAGCTTAGGGAATCCCTCCTGTTTCTGGGAGAAAAGCTGGGCAGCAACTTATGGCCTGAGGAACTTCTGGGGACATTTCTGGATTCCAACCCACGTGGAATAGCATGCTAAGCTATTCCTTCTCTGCAATGGTCCTGCATCACACCCATCACTCATCCTCCGGGAGCCACGGAAGATTCAAGGGGAACTCTGAAATCTAGGTTGCCTTTAAAGTTTTCTGATGAGCAGGAGATGTTTATCTGCCTGGCTGAGCTGTGGTTCAAAGACCTGATAGCTGTGTGTACAGCGCAGAGATGAATTCAGTATACATTTCTGAATCGACTTTTTTGTACACCCGTCATCAATAAACCCTCAAAGTCACTTGTGTCAGAATCAAAACTAGCTATGGAAATCATTACATCTACAGTCAGTAATTGATAACATGCATTTCAAATGCGGAAATGAATTAGCTTTCAGTTTATGGGGGGATTTCAGGCTGGATCCAATTTCATTAGGCAAGAAATTCAAATAATGAACGAATAGCCTTTATTGTTTTGCTTTTAAAAGGGAATTATTTGTTATCTTTTTTAGCCTCTTTCCAAAATCATCTTTCTTGTTGTCTACAAAGTTTAACGAGCTCAAAAGTAATCTTCTGGTTCAGTAGGATGCAAACTTCCCACTTCCTACATCTTTTAACTCTCTGGAGCGCGGGGCTCTCAGATCAGCTTTGCTCTTAGGCAGCAGACGCAGGATGTTTTGCACCCCCATCGTTAAGCAATTAAGCTTCTCTGCCAATTCCACAGCATCCTGAAGCTCTCTGCCCATGCTCAAAGAGCTGAGAGCCTCCCTGACACCCACATATGGACATATATCTCACCAACCTCCGAGGACAAGGAACAGGGAAGGGAGCAGCCTGGGATGAGTTGCAAGCTTCAGATTTGTTCTCCCCTTTCCTCCCATCCCAACCCAAGCTGGAGCAGTGGGAGGTGGGCTGGGACAGAGCACATCTCAGTGAGCAGAGAATGTGAAACAGTTGTTGTTGCTGCTGCTCGGGCCAGTTGAAATATTTCATCTTGGATTTGAACAGTAAAGTGAAAAAATAAGTAAATAAAGACACCCCCACCAGCTTCGTTTTATTTTAGCTGCAGAATTATGCTGGTTTGAGCATAGGAAACACAGCTGCCAATCTCAGTATGTCACAGTGCAGCACTTTTACAATTTGGACTTCTTTTGTCTCTTGAGAGAAAAAAAAAGACATAGGCCAGGAAAGAAGCGAACTATAAGCCTCTTTTGCAAAAGAAGTTTTATTTTTGACCAAAATTTGAGAAAACCGCATATTATTTCAGATATTCCCCAAACTTTCAAGTTTTACCCACCAATGCAGAGACATTTCTGAATTTCAAGGCCACTCTGTAAGACATAGTACTCTATAAAATGCATCTCCCTTTCCATCCTGCTCTACTATGTGCCCCAGAATGAAAGGCTGCAGCATCGGGCTCTTGAGCAGGGCGTCTTGAACCAATATACTCATGGAGGCTTCCCAAATTCTTCCTTAAGCCTTCTCTGATCTTCTCATAGCCTGGCAGAGATGTCTCTGCTGCTTGCTAGGATGTCTCTCCTGATACCTCGCCCAAATCAGCAGCATGCACACTTCCCTCTCCTATCCTCCACGGACCTACTGAACAAAACCTTCTCTTTGCTGTTGCTAAATATATATCCCCATCCGGTGGTGTGTTTTCCCTTCAGTGCTCTCTTCTGTGTATTAAGCAGCCCCAGTCCTCTCAATCTTTACTTCCAGGCTGTATTTTCTCCATCTCTGACAACTCCTGCTGCCTCCCCCTGGTTTCCTTCTTCCCACCTCTGCAGTGAAGCAGTGCAGGACAGTGCCTGCTGTCTGCGTCCCCATCACATTTTCTTGTATTTCTGTTTTTCAGAGCTTTTCATGACATTATCAGCACCACCTTGAATTTAAACCCTCTCCTCCTGTGCACCCACAGTTCCTTACTATTGCAGAACAAACCACATGGTTTGGAAGACTATCTTCACTCCATCCCTTGGAACATGAGCAGAAATGCTCAGCAGGATTATCTGCCAGACCAGCTCTTGTGAAACCTCATATTTAGGCTCTCTGAACCATTTCTTGGAAGGAAGAGACTGACTTCTTTTACTCCCAAGTGCTTGACTTGCAGAGGGACTTGGTAGGGCACCCATCCACCTAACCTCAGCCATCTTCAGGGTGGTCAAACAGCGTCCAGGGCTGCTTCAGGGACAGCCAGATCCCTAGACTTGGTGCAAGCCTATCAGAGGTGTCTTCAGTAGGTGGGAAAAGCTGAGTGCTGAGAGAGCTGACAGACTTTTGATGTGTCTCAAGCTGGTGGTAGTCTGGAGGAAGAGGAGGATGCTGTACTAGAGCTCAATGCAGCCCGGTATGCAAAGACCACATGGCAGCAAAGAGAATTTATTTTGTTCTTCGACCATCTTTAGTGAGATTTATTTTAAAAAATGTATAAACTCAACAAACATCAATCTGAAATTCATAAAATTTATAGGAGAGAAGAAGAAAAAAAAAGAAAAAAATCCCACAGCTCCTCTATTGTTTGCTCTGGGCAACATCCCAAACTCACACCGAACTGCAAGAGTGATCTTAGCTGGCCTGAAAACACTGAGGCTATTAGAGAAATTGAATCCAGACCTTTCAAAAAATCATTTAGAATTACAGAGGAGCCCATATGGTTAAAGAATATTAAAGTCATAGAGTGAAGTACTCAGAACCTAGGAAGTCTGAGATTTTTTGCTTGCAAATGTGTTCCCAACAGGAGTGGCAAAAAACAGAACTCAGACATAAGAGCCACTCCTTGCTCCATTTCCAATATCGATTCATGAGTATTTCTCAATGGAAGCAAATAAGGCTCTATGGTTTTCTTTAGCCTGTCTTAGGTGAAAGGGCAGCTTTTTACCCTCCTTTGCCCTGTGATGCAGAGGGACACTGTGGTTGCTGGATCCGTGGACATCATGTGCCAGGCCCTTGCTGTGCTGTGACGGGTACGCGGCTGCAAAGCAAAGTTATTTTGGCTCTCCTCTGTTTAGCAGGGTGGAAGGTTTTTAGCAATTCTAATTGAAGAAGGTCCAAAAACATCAAAAGCCCTCTTTGGTTGCTGCAAACCCCCTCGGGGTCATCCCGGTATGCCAAAATCAATAGTACCCACACTGTATTGATTCTGAAATTTGAGATTAAAGCCGATCGTTTCCTACTGCCGGTTGCCATCTAGAAAACCAAAGTAGGAATGGAAAATTCTCACTGAAAGAAAGGAAAGCAAAACAGGAAGAAAAGGAATTGAGTTATGTTCCTTTACAGAAAATAATCAGCTTTAACCAAGATGGGATTTAGGTCTTCACACACTGAGAGCAAACAGGACTGTTTCATTATCACTCAGCCAATGATTTTGGAATGAAGGATTAACAACATCTTAAACACATGCTTCCAATGAACTTCCAAAAATATAGGTTATTTTTCTCTACCAGGGATTAGAAGGATGTACAGTAATTAGTTCTGAAATATTTTGGCTGGATTATTGTGTACCGCTGTACGAGGGATGTGTAACTATCTCTCACCAGTCTGGATAATACGTTCCGTTTTGTACTACAAATTCACTTACATTGTCTGTGGATTTTCAAGGAGTATAAATAGAACAAAATCTCAATTTTCATTTGCTGGGAGTTTGTCAGAGCATATCCTTCTGAGAAAAAGAAAGGCAAATTTTGGTTTTCAGGCGGAAGACTTTAACATTGCAGAGCTATGGCCTACATTTTCTGAAACGGCTCCCAGTCTTGCTTGTGAAGTCCTGAGGTGTTCGGTTTTGATCAAGCCTGGAGGATATCAATGATTTTCTTGCTGAAGCCCTCAGGAAGCACGACAACTTGAAATACATTGGTTATTTGCCTGCACTTTGGCTTTTGCATGAAGGTGTCTTTGGACACATTTATGAAGCAGTTGGGCTTCTAAACACCTTGATAGAGACACACAGCATGAGGTGGAAACACTCAACACCTCTCAAGAGCAACAAATGGTTCCTGAATGTTGCTGTTTGGGAACCTGTGTGGGAGACTATGTCTGGCATGAAGACCTGTTGGATGAGTAGCTCATGATTAACATTCCTTTGGGATATGTAGCCTCAGTAGAGGAGCAATGACACAGGTGAGAGGCCATCCACCTCCTGGCATCAGTGGCTTAATGGAGCTCAGTACCAAACTGTGACAAGCTCCAAGTGGAAATCTCACCTGTAGCTCAGGGAAGGCTGTAAATCTCCCTAACAGTCAACAGGCAAGCCCTTGATGGAGGGGAACCCTCCTCCAGCGATGCTCCCATCTTGCCTGGATTGAGCCTTCCAATTCTCGTCCATGCATTGAACCTATTCCCTTACTGGAAGGGCTTTGTTTTCAGTTAGTTATGAGACATGCCCATCACAATGCCAAGCTCTCCTCCACTCAGGACCACCAAATCTCCCTTGGCTGGATGAAACCCTGCCCAAATATTCTGGCTCTCTTTACGAATGAGATCACCAGATTCACCCTCCAGGAAAAGCTGTTATTTCACATCTAATTTACAATGACTCTCTGTTTTGTTCTCAGAGAGCATGTGTTTCCAGAAACAAAGTCTTCATCTGCCAGATGCCAATGCTAGGAGCTCTTGTGCGTGATAGCCTCTCTGATACTGCCAGTTCCATATTTTGTAGCACTCCAGCATCAGCTGCTGTTGGTCTCAGCTCTAGAAAGTGTATGGAATATTTACAGCATCATCCCCTTTTATTTTCCGGGTCAACCAATCTTTTGGATTTGGCAACCTTAAATAAAGATGAAAGCAAAGTATCTTTCTCACGTAGCGCAGAGGAATTTACAGTCCAAATGAACTGATTTCAAGGAGCAAAAGAAGGGGGCTTTCAAGGTCTTATGTGTTACTTTTCTGTTTTCTGCTGTCTTGAGAAAAAAATGTAATATTTATAACAAGGAAAACCGCGTACAGTTAGACTGACATTTGGAGCCAACCTTCTGAGTTCTAAATATTCATGAAGCAAGGAGACTGCAAGCATCTCGACAGCAAGGAACACATTCCTTGAATGCATTTTCCACATAATTCTCTCTTTGCATTTATTACATTTCCTGTATTTTTGTTGCTTTAAATGTCTTCTCTTCATTACATGGCTTTTGAGATACGGAGATGTGTAAAATTGGCAATCTGCTGTAACGAAACACAGCACACGCTTATCCTGCACTTGGTCCTCTGCATCCCACTGCTCTGGCTGGCAGCGTGCCGACTGATGGGAAGGGGAGGCGGGCAGAAGGCAGAAGAACCTCCCCAGCCCCTAAGCTCACAAAATGAAGGACAGTTCCCCCATATTATTTACTTTTTCATGGCCATGCTCCCACCTGCACCCATAGCTTGGGCAGATGCTGCTTCCCTCCTGCACTGGCATTGCTGCCCTCCCAAAATTTTTATTTGCTGTTATTATTTCCCCTGAAGTGACACAACAGCTGAAATGAAAGAGCACAGGGGCCTGAAGCAGGAACATTACGCAATCTGTGTTGTCCTTTTTGCCTTTCCTAATAGCTCTGCCCCTGTACTCCTGTTGTGCCCTCTGCTGCCTCCCGTGCTGCCTGTCTCCAACTGCCTTTGACCACTCCAACATCTCATTTAGGAGGTAACAACCAATTTAGCTCCTTTCACAGTGAGTGTAGGGCCAGGTTGCTTTCCCCCCCATGTGCCTTGCTTTGCTTGCAGCAGTTCTGAATGCCCACTACCATCTTACCATGGTAGCTCAGCCCCAGGCCCTTCTTTCCTGGCCTGGCTGCAGCTCCTTGCTGTTGGCCATAGATGTGATGAAGCCAACAGCTTCACACACTTCTGGACTTGCCTTGTCATTGCACAGGGACACATCCCATGTTGCTCCATTCATTCTACCATGAGACTATGAGAGCAAGTTATGGAACCCCATTCCCCAGAACGTTTCATTTACCCACGAGTGCTAACTCTTCCTTCAATCCTATTTCCCACCAATGAACTCAAAGGCCAGCCCCAGCAGTCTTGTTTTTCCCTCTGTTTTGCCCATCTCTCTGGTGCTCGGGTGGAATGAGGAGCATTTGGCAGCAGCTTGGGCCCAAAACTTCTGGAGACATGTTGCTTGCGAACAAAGAACAAAATAATCTGTTTCTCTTTTTCCCTTTTCCTTGATTGCCCCTGCTTGTCTCTGCAGGCTTCCTGTCTCTGCTGTGTTTGGAAAGCTCAAGTGGTTTCAGTTTTCATGCTGCTACCACGCCTGTCCCATCTGTCTTAGGGCTTTGCATTTACCCTGGCAGGGTGTATGCTCCTCTCCTTCTCCCATGCCTGGAACAGCCTCTGCTTTTTACTTCTCTTTTACTTTTCCACCTCTTGGAGCCTCCTTGCAAGCCCAGCTTCAGTCCAAGCCAGAACAAAAACAACCAAAGACCTCAAAACCCTCCACAAACACACTATTTCTGCCCACCCATTACCATCGCTCCCAGATTTATTTATTTTTTCAATATCAAGGCTGGTTTATATGTACATATATTTGATCTCAGATGGATTATTGCAGCCAAAAAAAGAGTAAATAATGCAGCGCTGAATTACAAAAATGAATACCTTAAGATGAAACCTGCCTTAGCAGAGCTCTCTGAGAGTCGCTGCTCCATAATGCGAGTGGCTGTGATTTATGACCTTCTGATAAAGATACCCTGATGGAGAAAAGATGAGGTTATAGGTAGGCAGGAGAGATGTCGCACAGTTTATGGGTTTTGAACTTTTATTTTGGTACTAGAAGCACGAACATAAAAGGCTATTTATCAGAGCCAGGCAGAGAAAGAATTTATTTTCTGATGATTTTAATACATTACCACAAAATATTGCTGAAAAAGTTTGGTTTTCCAGCAAGACATTTCAGACCAACTTGCAGGTACGCTTTCTTCCAAAATTATTAATATTCTCCCTTATTCAATCTGACCCTGACAATAAGTATGGCTGCAAAAATGCCATTTTTATTCTTGATGTATAGAACTATGTATCAATACTTTTGGAAGATGAAGACATTGGAGCCTTTAGGCCTCGATGTGATAAATTGAGACTGTCTGAGGGGAGATAATTACCAAACAGCAGCAATTATCATCGTTGCTCGTTGAAAATCTCGGGTAATTTGCATGCAAGACTGTCAGGTTTGGTTTCAAGAAGGTGAACAAGCTGGATTGACAAATTTGTTAAATCTGCTGGAGAAGCACAGTTTAAAATAATAACAATAATTAGTAGTAATATAATTGATCTATTTTGTTCTGTGCATGACAGGAATTCACTTTAAATTGAACCAGCAAATTAAAGCAACATTTAGCATACCAAACAATATTGCTCGTGAAAACATCTATTTATATCTGCCAATAATTGTTATCCAACTCTGAAATATGCAGTGGATTATACAGTAACCTTGCAGTGCATCAAGGAAGCAGATTTCAATCGCTGAAGAATAGCTGAAATTTTCCAACTGAAGAGACTGTACCTAAAACATAGAGTTTGCTTCGAAGCCAGCTGCTGAACTGCCCACCAAACCTTGTACTGTAAATGGCCTTATTATTTGCATAAGAGAGGTTAAATGACATCCAGCTAGACAGACAAATTGGCTTTCTCATGGATATTTTCTCTTCCAAAATTAAATAAACCAGACCTGGAGGTTTTTGAGGATGGGAAGGATTGCTAACCATGACAGTTTGAGGGAAAATAGCCTGAAAATGAAGAAATGGGAAGTTGTGGCATGATGCTGGGAGCATAAGTGAGACTAATCCTTTTGTTCTTACCTCGCAGGGGTACCAACCAGCTCCCCCAACCAGCTCCGTCAAGACCTGCCTATGACTTTGCTATGTCATTCAGACCTGAATTTTAATATCCCAACAAAACCAGAGATGATCTTTGGGAAAGAGATACATAGTCAAGGCTGGATAGAATCATAGAATGGTTTCGGTTGGAAGGGACCTTTGAGATAGCCTAGTTCCAGCCTCTCAATAAGGAAGCAATGGTTAAGGAATGGATAAATAGGGAAGACTGAGGAGGTCTCTAGGGCAAGATTTCTCCCATGCCTGAAGAAGTCCTCTTGCCTTCTCTCCCTCGTGATGCTCAGCTTGTGGCCCTGCCTGCTTCTGAGGGCAATACAGAGCTTGGCACATAGTTTTCCAAGCTCTGCCCAAACTACATTGACTCAGATGGAGTGTTTTCTCTCACCTGTGAAGAAATCCCATTACCTGCCTTGGTCTGAGGCCAACATGCCCATCTGGAGCTGTGGTGCGAGCAGCACTACCAGCTGCAACAGCCCCAGAGCTGCAGTCCCACAGGATCCCTCCCCAGGTTCTGCCCTATCCACACAGCCTGTTGCAGCCTGTTTTATTTGAATTAGCTCTTGCTGATACTGTGCAGTCCTGTCCCTTCCCTTATCTTACCCCCCAGTGCCCGTGGTCAGGACAGGAGGTCAGAAGGTACAGCACAGATAAACCCTGAATGCTCCTTTGTGAAATACAGACAAGCTGGGATTTGTTATCTTCTTTTTGCAGCATCTGCCTACAAATCCTTCTGCAATATTCTGCACCTGAGTGCTCACCCAGGACAGCTCTGCCATGCATGTCAATGGGCAGCATGTGCCCATCCCACCCTGGTAGGCAGGGGGACCTGTTTTGAATGGAGACAAGCTCTTTGCACCCAGGTTTGATATACCTGTACATCAACATGTGATGGCAATGCAGCAGCATTGGGTAGGATGTAAAGCAGGCAGCCTCAGAATCAAGGAGAATTCCTACACCTGCAGATTTCCTACTGCTCTTCAGCCTTTGCTCTGTCCATCTGGCTTAGCCATTCACAGTCAGCCCAGAACCACAGACTCTGCTTCTGGAACATTTTGAATGCACCTCTAGCAAAGAGGTATGAAAACGTGGCGCCCCTCATCCAATCACATATAGACAGAACATGCTGCTTTGCACTCTGGGGCATTATGTAGAGCCAGGTTGATGACACAAGCTGGATCAATCATGCAGTAGCTCAACCTTGAGCTGGAAGTCACTGATATACCTAGAGTAGGAAAGTCTTTTCCCCTCTGCTTTCTTTTTCAACTAAGCAGGCTTACCTTGTGCATTCCTTCACGTCAACAAAAGGAAATACCCAGCACCAATGGCTTCTTGGAGTGTCTGCAAAGGTCTGACAGATGATGAACCATAGTGACTAAAACCAAGGAGCACAATGGACAACCTCCTTGTCCATGGGGAAAACTAAGACCCAAAGTCCCTCCAGGTCACAGACTGTTGTCCTGGTGCCATCACACGTGGCTTACTTGTCAGTGGTGCGAGCAGCTCCAAATCTTCTCCATTTGTACTCGGACAAGAGCCAAAGTCAACATTGCTCAGAAGTAATACAGCCAAATGGGACAGTGCTTTGGATGTGGGGTTTGTTTACTCCTATTTTAGGAAAAGATGACTTGAGTCACTCTTCTGACGCTGAGTCCCAAGGCATCCCAGCCCCATGGGTACAACTAAGAAAGTTGTTCATGGCTCCTAGACCTGATCTCTGTTTTGTGCTGAGGCAAACACACATGCCTGACAAGTCAAAATCCATCAGTTAAGTGACCCAGTGGCTCCTAGAGCCCATTGGGTTCCTCCTACAGATTTCCTTGGTGAGATTTTTGAAGGCTCCAGCTAACGCACAGGCAGAAATCATGAGAGGGAAATGCTTGGCTGAAGCAGTCAGGACAGTGCCCAAGGGCAAGCTTGAAAGGTACTGACAGATCTCCATGGTGCATGTCATGTTTCACCTGGCTCTGCGCTCCAATTTAATAAGTTGCTTGGTTTCCCAGGGACTAATATTAACTGAACAAACTATTTAATTTTGCTGATTAATTAACACAGGAAAAAAGATCTGACCTTGCCGTGGAGATAATAGTGTTCCTCCTGTGCCCTCACAAGAGGATGGTTTAATTTGGTGACCCCAGAGCAGCTCAATCATCACTGGATGCTGAATGCAATGGCAAAATCCTCTTTCCTGAGGGGAACGTGGATGACCCTGGGTGAGCAGAACACACAGAAAAGGGATTATCTGTTTTATACAATCAGTAGATCAAGAGATAATAACAGTGCAAAGACATCTTGAAGTACATGTCTGACTCCATGTACGTTGGCCATCCATATGCCAAGAAATTGCAATCAGAAGCACTGGTCTGTCAAAGCTGAAAGTTAAAAAAAAAGCAGAGAAAACTTTGCCTTTTGTTCTGGGGTGATCACAGCAAAGCAGGCAGGACCAGGGATATTGCATTTTTGAAATTATGTGAGGCTGTGGAAGGGCATAGAGTCTGCTCTGCTGTGTTTTGGGACCCCACCCAAAGCCCTTGGGTGGATTTATGACCCACTGACCTGTCACAGGTGTTCTACTAACTCGAGATGCCTGCAGATAGGCACAGGAACGAAGGCTGCTTCTTAACTTTGAATTGGGTTTTAGTCATGAGCCAGAGGGCTTCCAGCACCTTCTCCTGATTTATTTGGTATTGGCACTATACTTGGTGGCACCTCTGCCCCCAGCAGGGCTGGTGGTGCTCCACCTCCACAAGCACCTTCTTTTCTTAGTTTTTCTAAATTCAAAGTCATTTACCCTTTCAAACTTGCGCTTTGAAGTCCAATAGCCATCCACCATTTCACCTTACTATTCCTGACTGAGATTCAATGACTTCTTCAGGGCAGCACCAAATAGGCTGAGACGCTGTAATGCTATAACAAGATGACAGTAACAGGGTGGCAAAGTCCTTAGCTACATAAACTGAGAACGAGCCCAAATACAGCAGCCACAGATGAAGAAATAAAGGAAAAGAGCTGCTTACCTCCCCAAGTGCTCAGGTAGGCAGGAACCTCCTGCAAGAGATACCCTCACCTCCACTGCCAGCCTTAAATGAGGTCTGGGAAGGGAAGGATCCTGGCTCCACCCTTCCAGTCACTCAGGTACATTGCATGCACCTGAGCTCCCCTGGGTTGGCCCTGCCTTCCACCAGGTGCTCAATCACTGCTTCAGGCTGTGATTAGCATTTCCATTACAGATGCCAACACCCTCCTCCCCAGCCCAGGTCTCTCTCCTGTTCTGTTATGATACTGGATAGAATAGGGTGGGGAAACACAATACTGGATGTGTTTTCAGTGTGTGATCTGATGGTACAACTCCCTCACCATCCCTCCAAACCTGCTATGATCTCCTCGTAATAAATTCTACACTAAAGCTGGTTGAAAACATTTCAAATGAATGCTGTGGGTTTTTTTTTTACCCATGGGAAAATGCAGTCGGACTGAAATCAAAACATTTTGAAGGGAACATGTTGATTTTGACTGGGAAGTATCAAAACAGATTGTTTCAACTTTCTCATTTTGTTTTGACAGTTTCAAAGCGTTTCGTTTCCATGAGGTAAAAACATTCGGGTTTGAATTTGTCTTAGTTTTGTTTTGACTTTCGCTCCCCTGGAGAACAATGTAGTTTTCCATGAAAAGCCTGAATAAAAGCTTCTGTAAGCTCCAAAACATTGTGCTGGAAATGTTTCAGCACTTCTGGAGCACCCAAGGCAGTGCTGCAGCCCTCCTCCTCTGACTGGTTCCAACCCATTGCAGTCACCAGAGAAGAGAAGCACAATCCAGCCAGATCAAGGTAAGATGGCATCCAGCAGAAGACTCAAGCAAACCGTAAGGGCAAGGCAGCACATCCTCCTTCAGAAGATGGAAACAAATGAAGTGATGGCTCCTCTTCCTCGACCTACCTGTTGCACAAGCTGCTGATTCATTTCCCTGTGATGTTCATTATGGTTCTATAAAGCATGGAAAAAAAGTCAGTCGGTAGCATGAAAAGCCCCGAGCATTAGAAGATTTGATTTCCTGGGTGCATTTTCAGTCCTGCTTCCCAGCCACTGGGGAGGAAGGGTGTTTGCCTCCTGAGTGCAGCCATTCAATTCAATTAAAAAATTAGGTTTACTTCCAAAGCGGTTTGCCATCTGCATCTTAGCCATGTCTGAACGTGCTGGATTGCTCTGGGAGAGGTGGTGAGGGCTGAGTGACCTGCCAGCTCCATTTCAGCTCTGCTGTCAGCAGGGCTCTGCTCGTGCGCCTTGCTGTCTCCTCTACTGTTGACATTTACAGCAGTTTTAGTGTTTTGGAACTTCCTTCTAGCAGATGTGATTAAATCTGTCCAAGAGGTTAACGGGTTCTTGGGGGAAGGAAAGATTCCATCAGCTTTGCTTCTCCAAAAATCAAAGGATCACAGGGATCCATAAGGGGAGAGAGGAGGTCTGCTGGGTGCTGGTTGCTGGGTTGAGGTGCCCCAAACTGTAATGCAGTGGGTGACAGAGGGCAGTGGGGAAGACGGGAACCCCAAAAGATTGCACAGGGCCCCTGATCACAAGCACAAAGATTTCACACATCCAGCTTCTTCCCAGAGACCTCTGAGCACCTGGAGGTTTGCCCATGGATCATTTCATAGGTCCAATCCAGCACCTTATCCCACACGGCTGAGATCAATGGGTCAGATGGTGTAGAAATGTTTTATGAATACATTAAGAGGGTGATATCAGCTGGAGTCTATTAAAACAAGTCTATATCCTGGCCTAATAACTTCTCCGCACTGTGATTAGAAGCCAGGTCTCTGCGTGCAGCTTGGAGCTGACCCCATGGCCACCCCTCTGCCACCCACTGTGGGACCTGGCGTCCCTAAGAGCGAAGCACCACAGAGCAATTGCAGTGCAAAACCACATCACCACGTAGGAAAAGCTGAAATACGAGAGGGAGAGAGCAAAAGAGCGGGGCAAGGGGCAGGGTGGGAAATCGATGCCTCATTGAGCTTTTGTTCTGGTCTAGTGAGAGCCCAGGATCACTTGCAGGAGCTCCCACAAGTTTGTAAACACCTTTACTTGTAGTTTTCTGTTTGACTTTGTTCAAACTGGAGGGTATGAATGCGTTCCTGTAGCTAGCTGCTGATTCTGCTACTTCTCCAAAGAGAAATGGCTTCGCCTTTTCTCGTGCGTGCCTCATAAAATAGGGATTAAGAGCATTTTTTTTAAAACACAGTTTTTGTAATAGTGCAGCCCCAAACCCCTTCAATCAGCAAACTTTAGCACGACTTGACAGACTAAACTGCCATTCCTTAACCCACAGGACAAGAAGTGCCATTTGCACACGGTTGAGTGGCGAGCAGGAGAGATTCATGTCGCTCGCTAATTGCCTCTGGCTCTACGCCATCACACAAACACTGCGGCACCCGCTGCACTTCTGCTCCCGATTCCATCTCTGCAAATGTCTTTTGCTGTATTTCAATGACTCGGGGGTGCTGGATTTCTGTGAAAAAGGTGGCTAAGGAAAGGACAAGTGGAGATAGAGGCACCACGGAGAGCTTGTGGTGCACAGCTTGGGCTCCTCTGGGTTCACACTGAAAGTGAGGAATGTCCACATGCAAAATGCTTAACTTTTAACATAACATGGAGCTTTAAAGGTCATCAAGTCCAACTCCTCCACAACGAACAGGGACACCTACAGCTCCATCAGATGCTCAGAGCCTCGTTCTGCTTGACCTTGGGTGTCTCCAGGGATGGAGCAATCTCTCTGGGCAATCTCTGCCAATGCCTTACTAGATGTCAATCTCCTCGCCTCACCCAGGGCTTCCAATTCTATCAGAGTTGCCCACAGAGGTTTGGGAGATAGGAGCCAGAACTTAGGAAGGACATATGCCATGTGTGAGAGGCTTTCAGCATCCAGGGGTGGATACACAAAGTGGACACAAGTCATGCAACCCCCGACAGCAGTGGGGGGGTTGCACCCCAAATTATCCTGGTGCTGAGCTGGGGTCAACTACGCCTCATTTCCCTGCCTCTAACCCCTTGGGCTGGAGGCCACAGGAACAACTCCTCCAATTCCTGCCCACATTGAAGAGCATTCCAGAAAAAACAAGGGGAAATGAGCCTTGTGGGCTCAGGGCCAGAATCTGCAGCAGATCACATAGGCGAGGGTTGTGAACGCTCAGGGTGACCCAGAACACTGAGCAGCCCTCCTGGAAATCACAGGGAGCAGGGTGGGAGCCCACCTGAGCATCTGTCCATTGGGGAGGAAGGTGAAGGTGTCAGTAGCGGTGGGGATGTGGAGGGATATGCAGTGATATCACTGCCAGGCTCCGCAGCCTTCACAGGACAATCCTAATGTTTTATGCACTCCTTCACTCTGCAAATAACTTTCAAAAGGTAATTGAAGGTCTTAGGATGATTCTTCCT